TGGAAGCCAAGGTTATGCTCACTCTCTAGATACAATTTTTGTTGATTATGCAAGATCTGGCTAAGGTTGCACGAAATGTCATCATAAGTAAGACATGTACGTACTTATCTTAGCGGTTTGTTAATTCCCATTAGCTAAATGTACTTAAGTTTATTTAGATTTAATATATTTTAATCATGGTTTAGTTCAAACCATGCCCATGTTGTATTAGTTTAAAGTGCTAATTAACTAATTGATTGAATTGTTTAAGCTTGTTTAGCCATTAAAGAGAGTTTGGTTGAATTAGATCTAAAGTTATCTATTTGGATCAAGTTCTAATTTGACCAACATTTGTAAATCTATTTTTTTAAATAGCTTGAATCTTGATGAGTTAGGTGGGCTTCACCTTCAATGATTTTGATTAGTGTTAAGATTAAAGATAAGCTGGTTAAATCAAATCTCTATGGATTCAATTAGGCCAAGTTGATTAAAATTGTATAAATGTTGAGTTAATTGAATTTCTAAGGATGTAACTAGACATCTTGTAGAGAGCCTCACATCCACTAGGATTGGTCAGTTAAGAGATTAAAATTGGAGTGATTTAATTTAATATTTATCAGTTTATTTAAATCAACTTTTATTTTAGTGTGCCAATTGACCAACTCATAAGGCCAATTGAGACCAAAGGACTAGACAAGCCCATAGACACTATGTGGGAGCTCTAGGGTCAATTGATTAGTTTAATTAGGGTTTCTAAGTCTAAGTGGGGTTGAATCACTTAAACAAACAAAGGTTTAAATTTTATTTGTCAAAGAGTTTACAAAGTTAAAATTAAGTTATTCTAAAGCTTAAATCATGTATGAAATACTTAGTTACATCTATAGACAGTTTAATTTGAACTTTTAGATCCTATTTGGTCAATTTATTTCGATGAGCTTGAAAGGCCAAAAGCTTAAATGTTATGGGTCCACCTTAGTAACTATGGTATGATTGGGCTAAGTGGATAAGATTAATGCTGACATATGCTTAATTAAAGTTTGATTATATGATTTGAGGTTATTAGTCTTATCAATTTTATCAAATGAGGTCAATTTAGGGGTCAAATTTATAAAATTGGATCAATTGGTTAGAATTGACAAAATCAAAGGATAATTGTACTCAAATCAACTTTGAGTAGTTCAAATGATTCAGTTGGAAGCGCTGATTTAAAGTAAATTTATAAAATTAGTTAATTTGGGGTAAAGTTTTCCATTTGGTCTATACTGGGTTAAATGGACTAATTATCCAAATTAAGCCTTATCAATGGCTAATTAAGCCTAAAAATCTAGGTTGATTAATTGAAAGGTTTTCTAAAGGTAAGTTAGGCTCAATTGAATTAAATTGATTAAATTAATTTTAATGATTGGTAAGAAATGATGATGTGAACCCATTGGCTAATTAAAGAGTTAATTATGAATAATTATAGTATGGTTAATCTGCTTGAATTTGTTAAGATTCTGAACAAGCTATTGATCAATAGGTTATGTTTGATTCAATAAATTTGGATTGGTTCATCTAAGATTCTGAACAAGCTATAGTATGGTTATGTTTGATTCAATAAATTTGGATTGGTTCATGTTTGTATGGTTCGTTCAACAAATCTAATCAAACTATTGCAAAAAATTATTTGGCTTTATTAGGTTAATAATAAACAATCATGATCAATTTACATGATGGTCAAAGTTCAATTATCCAATTCCATTATCTAATTTTAATTGACCTAATTGGGTTCAAATTTGGCTAAGCTAGGATTAAAAGAGGTCTAGCCTACTTAATAGGTCAATCTGCCAAATCAATGCATGATTAGTGATATGAATCATTTTAAAAGGCTTGGTCAAGTGGTTGAATCATTTGACTTAAAATCATCAAATGAGACCAGTGTTAAGGAGCATTAAGGCTAGGTTGACCATAAGTTAAACAAAGGCTCATTGGTGTTAAATTTTTATGAACACATATTGAATTAAAATTAAAGAGATAGAGCGGAGAACCAGACCATCAGCTAAGTCTATTGGGTCCAATCAAGGTTAATCAAGAAAAGTGGCCTATTCTAGGGTTAATTAGAGTCAAACTTATTAAAAAAGGACATGATTGAATTTTATTTAATGAAATATTTCTCATATGATTATAAGTATAGTCCATAAAGATCCTATAGTCATGACAACATCCTAAATTAGTTTAATCTCGAGGCTATAATAGAGTTTCTAACTAGAAAAAGTTAAGAAGCGCCTCGTGAATGAAATCGAATATAGAAATTAATATTAAATTGATAAGAATAAGCAATAGCTTGAAGCATCTCTAGAAGTAGCCAAGATACCAAGCAAAAAGATATTAATTCAAATAATTAAGCTTATAAATGACAAGCTTAACATCAGCTCAAAAGCCAATTTTGATCCATCAATCCCAAACATGATGCATATCTGATGCTGACATTTACGATGTTAGCATACATTTCTTAGCCCCAATTTTGAAAGTCATTCCAAACATGTCGACATTTTAAGCTGATTCGAAATCAAGTTGAAATACTTCATGCCGAGCAATGAATTGGATTCCTCGCTCAAAAACTTTGAGATTATGTTTGGCGGGGCCAAAGCCGCACTTTTAACTTCGACTTAAATTACATAAAAAAAAAAAAATTTAAAATTTAGTATGTAAATTAATATTTTTGATTTATTTCACTGAATAAAACTAATATACAATCACATCTTATATATTATCCAATTTCAAATGATTTCAAACCATTTCGGATTAAAATTAGAGTGAAAATGATATCATTTCACATGCTAATAAATTTGAATCCATTTGATTATTACTTAATGAAAATTTCAATTCCGAGTGGTATTTTCACACGCAATTCTTCAGTTTGCCAGCCTGCAAAATGCCTATTTAAAACGCGTTTGACTTGATGCGATTTGGTGGAAACCAATGCCGGCAGCTTCTCCTGCTTCCATGAAATAAAATCTTATCTCTTCACCTCTTTAACTCTCCATTTTCTTCTTTTACTTTCCCAAAATCATTTAATTCTCAACCGCCGTAAAAGAGTCAACTTCCCCAACATAAATTCTTCTTTCCAGGAATAAGTAATATGCTAAATAAATATTTCAGTCAGAAATGCAAAGTAGTTCCTTTTTAATATGATAGATAGAAACTTGCATTTTATGAAATATTCTCTTTTATTTTTGGAAAATAAATTATTTTAAACTCTACTTATTTCCGGCTTGCATAACAGGGAAATATTTCCATACAGAGTACGCACGCAGCTTCGTGGGTTATTTGTAGGTTATTAGGGTATTAATTCAAATAACATGTAACCCCAATGAGCTTCGCGGGTTCTATTTTGGTGTTATTCATAGGTAATTATGAGGTTATTGCGGGGTTATTGGATTACGCATGCAAAGCTGCGTGCATATTCCGTATGAAAATATTTCCATGCATAACATGCATATTAGATGTTCCGTAATTAAACCCTAAAAATCTAAAAATTAACCAATTTGATATCAGGATATGACTAATCTTACTGCATCTATTTAAATCTCAAGTATCATAGATTATCATTCAAAGTAGCTAAATTATCTCAAAATCAAACTCTTACTTATGCGAGAGATTACTTTGGTCATTTTTCCCTCATAAAATATCAGTTTTGCACCTCCTAAAATATCACTTTGCCCTTTATTTCCGTAGCCTCTCCCACATCAGTTCTAGTCTATCTAGAAGCACATTCACCTCTAAAATTATTATATAATATAACTAAATGTCCAGAAATGCAAAAATACAATACAACTAATGTATTTATATAGCAATTTAATTATATATATACATATATCATCTAATACTTTAATTATATTAGGAGTTATGATATAACAATACAAATATATAATATTTTGCTTAAAAAAATAATTAAAAAGCACCAATTTGATTGTGCGACACGTGGCAGGGTTAACGTAAACCAATTAAAATTCGCATTTATTAATCCGCGCATTAGTGAGATATGCGACACGTGGCAGGGTTAAAAATTCGCATTTATTAATCCGCGCATTAGTGAGATTCGTGCCCCTGCGTGCCGTTGTGGTCACTCACATGCCCAACAAAAAGATGTTAACGTAAACCCTAATCAAATGCATTATATAATTGCATCCATTTTGACCAAGCAATCCATCATTTAATGCCTCGATTAATTCATGAGTTTTTATATCATTCCACCAATGCAGCACTCAATTCCTTCCCTCCAACATTTAATTAAAACTTTTAATTTATAGCAATATATCAAATTTCAGAATAAGGGCCCGTTTGGGACTCCAACATTTAATTAAAACAATATATCAAATTTCAGAATAAGGGCCCGTTTGGGGTGGTTTATAAGTGCGCGTCTAACCATTTGGTTTGCGCGTTTTTGAAAACGCTGTCTGCCGCGTTTGAGTTTTTTACACTAAACGCAGGCTGCGGGCCGACCCCCGCTGACCACATTTCAGGATAAGCTGCTTATCCTGAAACGCACAAGCCGCGTTTGAGTTTTTTACACTAATCGCAGGCTGCAGACCGACCCTTGCTGACCGCATTTCAGGATAAGCTGCTTATCCTGAAACGCACAAGCTGCCCCAAATAGACTCTAAAACTAATAATTTATATTCAGTACAAATTCATTAGAACAATGTTTTATATAGGCATTAGATTATAAAATTTGTCATTTAAGATGGCACAGTTTAAAATTACAAAGAAAATAGAGAAAGCAACAAGATTACTGTAACCATTTCATTGCTGCATAAAAAAAAACATATTTAATAATCTTATTAAATTATATTCATAATAAGGATTTAAACAGTTACAATAAAACTGTGGAGTTTTTTTTTTTTTTTTTTTGGCTTGCTATGCATGAAAATTAAACCACATCAACAATATTTACCTTATCTTCCTTTGCATATATACCTCAGTCCTCATGCATGAGGATGATTAATGTGCGGTAGTTGTATGCATATATTGAAGAATTATCAATGGTGGAGGGGGTTGGGGCCGCTGGGAACAAATCTTTTCTCCACGCCGTAACGGGGATCGATCTCGTTGCCAGTGTCGTCGCGGGCGAGGGTTGGGTTGGGCTCGTGAGCGGCGGCGACTAAAGTGGTCGTGCTATGTCCATGATAGCTGCTCGGATGAGAATGATGGTGATGATGATGGTGGCTTGAATCTTTTGAGTGGAGGAGTTTTCGATGGATGGATGCATGAGCAACGGAGCTCGGTTGTCGAACATGGCATGTTCCTGGGATTGGGAGGACGAGTAGGAGGATGAGGAGGAGAAAGAGAGTGGTGATGTGAGGTCTCATGATCAATGCCATGAAGATGAGAATTTGAGGAGACATTGAAAGGGTAGAGTCATGGAAGCCAGAAATAATTGAGGAAGAAGAGAGAGAGAGAGGGATGGCAGTTGTTCAATTTGCTATTTTTAGAGCTGGCTTAAGGCATTAAGGCAAAGGTGTGGGGGCAGGAGGGAGAACTCTATCTAATTTAACTGCACGCATTTCTAAGTATGACCATTGAACATTTATGCATTTATAAAAAAAATAATTTTTCAGAACATTGAATAATCTGCTGATAAGTTAGGAGCGGTGACTATGATAAATTTTTAGTTATTTTGAAAAAAGTTAGACCGTTGCCAGAAAACTGCTACTGCATCTAGATAGGTGCGGTGTGAAAACGTTGTTTTCAACGTTTTAAAAACACATAAGCTGCCAAAACACAGTTTAACGAAACAAACTAGGTGCGTTTTGAAAACGCCACTGCACCAAATAAGCTGCCTAAATTTTGGTTAGTTTGCCACTCTATTCCTAATTTATGCAAAAATATCAATTTAAGATAAGATTCGAGTTATTGTTCTTGATAGGATAGCTCAGTCAATTACACGTCAACATTATAAAACATTTTATCATTTTTAGTTTGGTGATTTGTGTAGCTAATTTACTTTTATGAACTAATGATGTTGAAGTGAACTAAATTTGTGCCTAGCTTGTAGGAACTACTCATCTTGTTCAGTGACGCGTACGTCATCGTTTTCTGCCTTATCTCGCTTATAAGATAAAGACCACAACAGTTAATTTCTAATATTTGTTGTAACCACTAATTAATTGTTTTTGGGACATTTACAAACATACCAATCAATTCTTATGAATTTGCATATCTAACCACCCCTAAATTGTACTTTATACATGCATAACATTCAAATCTTTCATGTCACATAAAAAATATCACCATTTTCTTACTTTTAAAGAGTAAAATACATCTTTTCATGCATACATATGGTTGATGTTAGATATGTACATAAATAGGAATTGAGCTTTATGCAAGTAAATCTTCCATTGCCTTTTTTTGTTTTGGGTCAAGTTGACACATTTTGCAATGGAAATACACAATTGATGCATCTTTTCATACACTTTTACAATATCTTATAAGTGTAATGTAATTTTGACAGTCGCTTCTCATGACTTCTGTTTAGTACATGCATCTTGTTTTCTTATTCAACATTGTGATAATTATTTACAAGTATAAGTTAAATACTTATTAAACATTTATTTAATACATATTTAATACAACAAATATATATTAATAATATATATTTAATGTGTATTAATTAAAATTTAATAATTTTAATAGAAATTTGCAACAATAAATGCTTCAACAAAATGAAGAGATCTCAAGAATCTCTTAGTGTCAAAAGGATTTTTTATTAGATATGTCAACATGAAGAGGAACATAAATAAAAAAGATAGTAGATATTGCATTTGATTATGAACAATTATCAATTCAAATTGAATAGTTTAGTACAAATAATGTGTGATGGCCAAATTTGGCTCAAATAATACCTCTATGAGTTTAGTCGATTGACTTAAGCAAGCGATCATCATTAAAATTTCTCTGAAATTGGCATTTATGGAGACACCCGAGGATGCAAAAGCCCAAGAAATTAAAAGGTGATAGTTCTCCACATTAATTTATGTTAGTATGCCTCATTAACTTAGTGGTTCATAAGATTCAGGATGTCTTAGGATATGTGACTTCTACATATGAGAGACAAACGAATAAACTATTCTATTTCACACTTTCATTATGGTGTATATCTTACTTGTAAGCACTTGGGTCAAAGAAAACAATCAGTCCAATTATTCCTCAATGTAATTTATGTTCTTCAAAATCATTTCTTGGGCTCATAGATTTAATGATCTCATGTTTTTTGATTATGAAATAAACATTAATTAAATAATGTTTTAAAATTTAGAGGTTAGGGCAATGAACCCACCCCTTAAACATAAGAATAACTAAAAACACTAAATACTGATGACAAGAGTAGTGTTGTGAAAAAGCGATTGCAATAAAGGAAAAAATTGGATCGAGAAAAATCACAAAACAGAAACCACAACATTTTGATAATGAAATAAATATTAATTAAATAATATTTTAAAATTTAGAGGTTAGGGCAATGAACCCACCTCTTAAACATCAGCATAAGTAAAAACACTAAATACCGATGACAAGAGTAGTGTTGTGAAAAAGCGACTGCAATAAAGAAAAAAATTGGATCGAGAAAAATCACAAAACAGAAACCACAACAGAAGCACATAGATTTACATGGTTCGGTAAATTGCCTACGTCCACGGAGCTGTAGAGGATTTTATTACTCGAGGAATTACACATGTTGATCACCTCGACGATTACAAGAAAACATTCTTTCTCTCTCCTCTCCTCCTCTGCTCTCTCTCTACCCGAGAGCTTCAAATCGAAGCATGCCAGAAGAAGAACCCGGAAAGCTACCAATGCCGAAGAGAGATTACAAGAGGAGCTAGCTTGCATATTTATTAATTCCATCATGTCATTAGACTCATTAAGAAATTAATCAAATAATTAATCAAACCCATTAATTATTTCATTTTCTCTTCTACAACAGATCATAGAAAGAATTAAGAACAATTAATTTAGCAATTAACTTCAAGTATCAAATCCAATTTGCTGCCAAACATGAGAAAATGCCAATTTTAGCTGTGGACTGGTTTCCATATTCGCGACAAGTAGTTCAAGAAAATATTTAAGAGAGTTTAATTAATTTTTATTGATGACAAAAAAAAATTTAGTTCAATTTTAGTTTATCATGAATTCATAGGGAACTTAAATACATGTAGAAAATAAAGTAGCAAAAGATAATCACAACACAAGTACATGAAATAAAATAGAAGAAACAAAGAGCACAGGATTCAAATATATCAATTTTTTGTTTGGCTGGATTTAGGTTAGATCACACCTAAATCCTTCTCACATCATACTACCTATAAGCCATTAATGTTCAGGTGGCTTCCAGAAATTACTTACATAGCACTCCAAACATTTTTATTTACAAAACTAGCACTTTCCTTCAATCTACTTTCAATTTCTCGCTCACTTCTTATCTATTCATCTATTTTAATCTTGAACTTCAACCTTTTTACATATATGCCAACTTAACTGTTCCTGAAAATATGTATTTTACTTTTTATAAGTTAAAATAGTGTTAATTTTTATATTTTATAACAGTTTTGGGTGGTCCAAATGTAATAAAGCAAAGTTAAGGAGTTAGATATGCAAAGACATGAGAATTCAATGCTATGTATGTAAATACCCCTTGATTTGCTTATGAATTCGTAAACGAAGATGAAATTTCATGCATAGGTGTATATCACTTAGGCGTTGCGCGCGCGTGCGCACACACGCATGTATATATATATATATACATACATACTTATGTACATATACATGTATCTATACATACATATGTAAGTATATGCCATCCTAAACTTAAGTTTGAGCTTGAATTTAATTAATTAATAGAGTTCTAGTTAAAGCTCAAACTTAATTCTACTACTTCAAAGTAGCTACTGAGCTGATTTATTTGTTTTGAGAGAGAAAATAATATTAACTCAAGCGAGTGATACAGTAAGATGACAAAATACAATTTAGATCATGAGCTGACGATTTGAGTCGGGTTTTGCTTTAGCTTGGTTTGTGAGCTATTCGAGCTCAGCTCATGAAGCACTTAGTTATGCATGAAAAAATGTGTTTTACCATTCAAAAGTTAACATAATCATATTTTTGATGTGATATAAAATAGTTGGGTGTTAATTATATATTTACTTTCCAAGATGTCAATGTAAATCGTTCCATACATCAAATACCTATTGCTCCAGAGGATCAAGAGAAAACAACATTTACTAGTCCTTATGGAACTTTTGCTTTTCAGCGAATGCCCTTTGGATTATGTAATGCACCTATAACATTTCAAAGATGTATGATGTCAATTTTCAGTGATTTGATTGAAAAAAGGGATTGAATTCTTTATATATGATTTTTCCGTGTTTGGAGCTTCATTTGAAAGATGTCTAAATAATTTAGAGAAAGTTCTAGAACGATGTGAAAAGATGAATCTAGTGTTAAACTGAGAGAAATGTCAATTCATGGTAGCAGGAGGAATTATACTTGAGCATAAAATTTTAGAAAATGACATTGAAGTAGATCCTGCAAAATTACAGGTTATATCTAACCTACCTCCACCTACTACTATAAGATGAGTTAGGAGCTTTTTAGGACATGCTGTTATTTACAAAGGATATATTAAAGATTTTTCAAAAATTACAAAGCCTTTATGCCAACTTCTTGAAAAAGATACAAAATTTGATTTTAATCAAGAGTGCCTTAAAGTTTTTGAAACATTGAATGAAAAATTAATCACTGCTCATATAATTGTTTTACCTGATTGGGAAAAACCATTTGAACTAATGTGCGATGCAAGTGATTATGCAAGTGAAGTTGTTTTACGGTAAAGATATGAAAACTTTTTAAAGTTATATACTATGCTAGTAAGACTCTTAATGATTCTCAAATTAGCTGCACCACTATTGAAAGAGAGTTATTAGCAATTATATATGCTTTTGATAAGTTTAGTTCATATCTAATAGGAGCTAAATATGTTGTGCCTACAGACCACTCAGGTATTAAATATCTAATGCAAAAGAAGGATGCAAATTCAACATTAATTAGATGGTTACTTCTGTTGCAAGAGTTTGATTTTGTGGTAGTCCATAAAAAAGAGACTGATAGTTAAATTGTTGATCATCTATCTAGGTTGGAACAGGAACAAACAATTCATTTGGAAAAAGAAATTAGTGAAACTTTTCCTGATGAACAACTTTATGCTGTTAAAGAATTGAAAATACTATGACATACTAATATTATGAATTATATTATTAGTGGTATTTTATCATATGGACTAACAAAATAACAAGAAAAGAAATTCATCCACGATGCAAAATTTCACTTT